ACACCGTTCAGCCATGGGAGAAGAACCACTGCTTCAGAAACTCAAGATCCAAGAAGATCTTGAATCTGATAAGAGGATTCTTGTTAACGACGGCGACGGTGATGGCCCCGTCACTTTAGTTTTACTTTTGACAACCTTCACCGCTCTATGGGGCGTGTTCTCCTATGGCACTGCCGTAATTTCTCCATCTTCACTTTCTGTGTTTTTTTCTCGCATGTTACCGAGTGCCTAGTAGAATAGAAAGAACAAAAGAACCCTAGATTTAACATAAACTTTGAACAAATTTGTATGTTATAACTTAATTTGTTATTTTTTCTATAGTAACATAATTATTTTTTGGAAGATAGTTGCTCATACAAATGTTTGTTTATGTGTCTTCATTTCTCTTGAAAGGTCCAAATCAAGAGAATATATTATCAACCGGAACGAAAAAGCGACATTTTTATGAATAATAATACCACAAGAATGTTTTAGCTTTTATTTAATATTTTGGCAGTTCGGTTTTACATCACCAACTCAAACCAAGATGATGGCAGAACTAAACCTCTCTCTGGCCGAGGTCAGTGTTGGTTTTTTTCTGTCTTTCAAAAAGCTTTAAAAAAAGGCAATTAAGTAATTGTTCCTTATAAGTTATAAACATGCAGTTCTCATTCTTTGGATCCGTCTTAACAATTGGTGGACTTATGGGAGCCGCCATATCGGGAAGACTCGCCGATCTTTTTGGTCGGAAAGGCGTAAGCTCTTTATTTTCTTTACGTATATATAGATAATACATACTCCAAGAAAAAAAATATATAGAATTTTGATGAATGATTTATGTGCAGGCTTTATGGGTTTCAAACTCGTTTTGCATGGCCGGCTGGCTTATGATCGCCTTCTCTCAGGTTTCTATAACTCATTTCAATTTTCATCAAAATAAATTATCAAAAAAAAAAAAAAATTCATCAAAATAACTCTGATTTGGATGGACCAAGATATGTTTTTGCTAGTGATATGATTTAAACCTACATATAATTGCATGCATATTGCATATTATTGACAGAAAACTATCGTTTTGATTTTCTAATACTAATGTAGACAAAAAGAAACTATCTTTCAAATCAAAAGCTTAAGAATCCTTCCCGATGGCGATTTTTCCATGTGTTTCTCTACTCATTAAAAAACAAAAAATAATAGAAAAGTAGGAGAAAGAAGTAGAACATCTCAATTTTTTTAAAGAAATTCACTAGACACATGTAACTATATAATTGGCTCAGTTTTTTC